AGAATTACATTTGAAGTAACAAATGTATGGACTAGTTTCTCAGCATCAACCCTGGAAAAGATATTTCTCATTTTTGCAATATTTCTCAGATGAAAGAAGGAAATTCTAGAAACCTCTTTGATATGGGATTTAAATGACAGGTCCTGATCAAAAACAACACCAAGATGTTTTACTTTATTATCTGAAATCAGTTTAATCCCATCCAAATGCAGTGACTGGCTAATCAGTTTTTTTTTTTTAAGACTCTGGTCCAAAGACTATATCTTCTGTTTTGTCTGCATTCAGAAGGAGAATGTTTAGAGTCATTCAGTTTGTCTTCAAGAGATGCCTGTAATTTATGTAACGGGTTAGCTTTCTTCTGGATTTATAGACAGATATAGCTGGGTATCATCAGCATAACCGTAAAAAATTAATCCCATGCTGTCTAATAATTCTACCGATTGGGAGCATATATAAAGTAAAGAGAATTGGTCCTAGTAGGGATCCCTGTGGTACTCCACAGGTAACCTTTGAGCATGAGGAAGATTTGTCATTAACGTGAACAAACTGAAATGGATCAGATAGATAAGATTTAAAGAACACTTGATTTTCAGCATTTAGTTTTGTAGACGAGTGGTTCTCAACCTGTGGTTCCTTGTTCCTTAAAAAAAGTTTTAAAATGCCTTGCAGGATTTTACCATTAAGAAGTTTTAAACAACAGATGGACTTTTTTTTTTTTTTTAAGTTTGCCAATTCAATTGTAATAGTTATTTATTAGATGAATTACAAGAGATCAATCACTGCTTGTGTTGAAAAGTACTTTCATTTTTTATTTGAATTGTTACCAAATTATTATTATTATTTTTTTTTAAGAAAATTGATAGAAACAAACCTTAGATTATCAAAGAATCTTTTGTTGCACCATCTTGTCAAGTACGATTGTTTTATTAGCTTTGCCATTTCCGTGACGTTGGTGTCATAATTATGATGTGGTGTTCTAAGTCATTCCTGTCACAAATGCTCCACCTGCTGGTAAAAATTTTACCTGTGGAATTTTGAGCATTCTGAATTATTACCCCGACTTAAAACCCACCGGGTCGCCTGTGACCCGGTGGGTTTTAAGAGGTTAAGAAGCTTTTCTACCTGAGGTAATTTTTCTTACAAAGCACAAAACCAGTCCAACTAGTCCCTTGTTGTTACAAAACATTGTGATTATGTGTGTTTACTTGTTATCTGTTCAGTACTTTTTTGGCAGGGTCAGTGTATCTGAGTGTGTTTGCTCTTACCCTTTATCAATTTGTTTTCAAGTTCTTAACATGACCTGATCAATTTTAGTATTTGGAAGTAAAAAAAAGTCAGTCTTGTATGTGATATATGATCTGATATACCTTGCTTGATCTGATTTTAAAATTGTAATGGTCATTTTGTTATGCTTGTGTTCCACAGCCACTGCCCCAACATCTTTTGAAGGCGTCTATGGTAAAATCATTTACAGAGTGAGGGCATTCATCGACACCCCGCGATTTTCCAAGGACTACAGCACAGAGATGCCTTTCTACCTGCTAAAAATTCTCAACTTGAACGAATTGCCAGATATATGGGTGAGCCATTATGAATTTTTCTCCAGACTATTCCTGGATCAGTTAAGCTTAGGTTTAGGATGTGGAGGTGTAGAAAAACATCCACTAAGATTAATAGTGTTAAAGTTGCTGTAGGAGATCTTGAAAAAGCGGTTCCAGCAAGCTATTTTTTTGAACATACACAACCATGCCTCTCCCCTCGAAACCACGCCTTCAAAACACATGAACATGCATGCTGTCTACAGCATGTCTAGAGCAGCAGGAGCAGCGCATCTGAGCAGCTGAAGCAGCATGTCGCTGATCTGAGAGCTGGCAGAGAGACTGGCACAGCAGCTGATGATGCAGAGCGCAATGATCACTCCTCTGAAGCAGTGTATTAATGCCTAAATTAACTTAAAATGCTGAAAACTGCCAGCAAAACATGTTTGCTTTTATTATCCTAGTGCCTGCAGTTTGGTTACGTACACAAAAAATGCCTTCCAGCCGCCGTGGCAAACCACAAAGCAGTGACCGGGCCAGTGACAGCACACTGCTGGTGTACAGGGGTCTGAGCGACTCGAAAAATACCCGAAATAATATTTGAAGTCAGGATGGTAATCTGGATGAACTGACTGCACTGACAAAGTTTTCAGGTGGACTTTCTCACTTAAAAATAGATTCAAAGTACTTTTTACCCACTGATCACAGCAAATATATCTGCCATTGTTACAGGCAAAGAAAGGACAGGGTAGCTCCGCTGAATGAGTTTTGCTGCTCTTGCTGCTTTAGGTGTGAACGTAGCATAACCCCCAGATTCCACATACTCCGTCAGTGCTCCGCCCCGCTCACGTACGTTGTGCGGAGTACTTGTCTTTCATGTAAATCAATGGGAGCTGTTCCACATCCACCGCTACGCCTCCGCACGTCACCGTCCACGTACGTCTTCTCCGCCTGTCACCATCAAAATACGGAGCCGAGCTATTTTTTGCTCCGCTCCAGACTGGCCATGTCAAGACCCGCAATTGCAGTCACACCCAACAGAAAAAAACAACAACATGGAGAACATTCGGTTTGTCAAATTAAAATATAGTAACAATAGATCGGTAACTAGAAAGAAGAGCAAAATTCTTATATATTTCCAAAAACTAAAAGCGTTTAATGAAATGATTGGATGCAAACTATTGGTACTTCATCATACCAGGAAGCTGATTTCTCATCTCCATCAACTTATTTATTTTATACTAAGAGGCTTAAAAGTTTAATGAAATCTGTTCAAAGCTTCTAAGAGTGCCTCTCACAACTTCAAAAGAAGCTTCTTACTGCAGCATTTTATAGGTTTATTGTTGTTTGTTTTTTTTACTTATGAAGTTTGTTTAATTTAAGAGGTCAGGTTTATCATTCGATCGTGTCCCTCGTGCTGCCCTGTGGGGGGTGCTCCAGGAGTATGGAGTCGGGGGGCCCTTTATTAGGGGCCATCCGTTCTCTGTACAAGTGGAGCAGGAGTCTGGATCGCATTGCCAGCATTAAGTCGGACCTGTTCCCAGTGCAATTTGGAATCCGACAGGGCTGCCCTCTGTCACCGGTCCTGTTCATAACTTTTATGGACAGGATTTCTAGGCGCAGCCAAGGACCGGAGGGGTTCTGGTTTGGGGACC